TGGTCTTGTATTTTACTTTATTGTAACTGTCTGTACGACATACTCACTTGATAATGACCGTATAAATAGGTCGAAAATTCGTGTTTTAATAAATATTTTTATTAATAAACTCTTAATCATGTTAAACGAAATCGGTAGATAATTGTGGTTTTTCTCTATCTATCGAGGTAAAAAACTTCAAAAAGAACTCATTAGTGCTAATTAATGCCCATCTATTTCCAGTGGATATTGATTATCTATCTATAATTATCAAAAAGCCCACTTTATTTGACGATGTCTCGCTTCAAGTAACATGACGTCATCTTTTTCGAACTATCCGAATTTTTTGTCTTTCTTTTAAGAATCATCTATTTATTCGCCTACTGAGTAGAAAAATTTTATTTTGTTGTTTCTCTTCGTCCTTAAATATTTTAGTCATAACAATATCTTTACGACAACTTTGTTCACTTTTGTGATTCTATTTTCTTTGTCTTGTCTATGTACAATTCTTTTCCTTTTATCTATCTTCTTTAACAAAATATATCTCTCATATATCCTTCGTATTTGCAACTATTTTTTAAATCATTATATAATCAATTAGATGAGTAGTAGTTCGTTACTAGACGAAAGCTTCGTCAGTGAAGGTAATCACAATGATTATGATCGACAAATGACAAGACATTGTTCTGTCATTTGGATATTAACTCTATTCGGTTTTAGATTATTATTTACGAGCACCTACCACCGACTACTTGTAGTTCACATAGATTTTTCTCACTGTTTGATATGACAATAATCATTCTGTTAATAATGACAAAACACGAATAACAAAATCATTTCTGACGGTCATACAGAATGTTTATTTACCTAAACACGTTTAACCTAAAACGACAGAAAAAGAAGAAATACATTACATGATATTTGAAAGGTTTATAAACAAGTTCGCTATTTGAAGAAACAAACATTTAAAATACACGCCAACGCATCTCATTATGTAGGAAAAAGACTTTAAGTGGACCCCTGGCGTCTAGAGTAAATTTATCTACTCTGAGTCTAGCTGCAATAAAATGTAAATTTCATCTATCTGCAGCTAGGTTAAATCTAGCTTCAGTTTGATACAGTTAGCTGCTGTTGATTGATTGGGTAATGAATCGTCTGATTCATCGACAGTTAGCTAGAGCAATATTTCAACAATTGTGGTTTTTTATCCAGCGGATCTAGATGTAAGCGCAAGCTGCAACTATTTTTGTCGTAAGACTGTTTTGCCTGTAGTTAACCAAGCGTAACTAAATCAGACATATATACTTGAAATGTTCATTCTTTTTTGCGTGCGTCTTATAAGACATATAGCATTTTTTACAGTGTCATCAATAATAAAAGTGAAATAAACAAGTAGCGCTCATCTACGATTCGCTTCTTCCCTTGACTTCAGATTCTTTTAGAACGACATATCAATCAGATTAGGTTCATCTGAATTATCGCACATTTTGGAAAACTTTTCCGCTTCGCTTCATCGTTCATGAAGTATAACGCCAGTTAGTTAAATAAATAAATCATTGAATTTTCATTCCCTGATGAAGTCCCCTGTGAATCCACGAAAACATGTGAAATCTCTAGAGAGTTCTCAGGGATTCCCTGTAAAACCCCCTGGTGACTCCGTGATTTTCAGGGAGTAGTGAAAAATAATGTAGTCCCAGGTGACTCGCTAGGCGTGTCTTAGGGAGAATGTACAACATATTCACCGTTTTGTTTTGCGTCTGCAGAAGGAAATTTTTCCCGCTGTATTCTTGATCTCCGTGTTAACATTTTCTGTATCTCTCAAATGTTTCGATACAACAGCATATCGCATTTCTGTTCTAGAAAAGTAAACAACAATGTCAATGAGTGGTGAAATAAATCCACGATTTGCATCAGAGGATGTTCGGGATGAACCATCACGAATGCTTAGACCTATATCAGGATATGAAAAACAGCCACTAGTTTCACTTGAAGATGCTGTTAAACCTTTGTATCATATTGTTGATGATTTACCGCGCAGTGTTTGGATAGCAAAAGAAAGTTGTGAACATCCTTGTGATGGTCTTACCTCAAACGAATCAGCCGCTATTTATCTATATACAATGGAATGGGATATTGGCGAAGCAAGTCTCTATGCTTACCTAAATCGTGCATTACGTGAAGCGGATCGACGAAAACTCGTACCATGGTTTCCATATTTGAAGCTGTTATTGACAGCTTTGTATAAATTACCAAGTGTACAAGACACTGTTTGGCGAGGTGTCAGAGAGGATTTAAGTTTGGAATACCAGCCTGGGAAGAAGAAGGCATGGTGGGCTCTTAGTTCATGTACTGCCACAGTTAATGTCTTAGAATTACCAATGTATGTTGGTACAGAAGGTAAACGAACAATATTTTCCATCCAATGCTTAAATGGTAAAATGATTCGACAACATTCTTATTTCCAAAAAGAGGATGAAATACTACTATTACCCGGCACATATTTAGAAGTTGTTAGTCAAATGAGTCCTGCTACAGATTGTCATATTATCCATTTAAAAGAAAAACTACCGCTGCATCTGTTACTCGAACCACCATTCAGCAGCAGCAGTAGTGACGCCTCTGCATCAGCAACTGTAAGTGTTGTTGCACCCAACTTTATTCAGTCATTTAAATTACTTGGAGCACATGGTATGGATGGAACGGGTGTTAGTGATGAAGAAAATGAGAATGATTGTTTTGAACATGCAAGTGATACATCAACTGATCAGAGTGTCGTAAAGACCCAGTGTTTTATCTGGCTTGATGAGAATGTTAATAAGGATCAAGTTAATCTCGACTTACAAATAAAACTCCGAAAATTCATTAGTTTATTTGAAGTGTTTGACGTACTCACCGAATGTGAAAGGTACATCCAACATACGAAAACTAAACAGATTGTTCTGATTGTTGGTGGCGAATTTGGCCATGAGCTAGTACCGCGAATACATGATTTATCTCAGTTACTTGCTGTTTATGTTTACTGTATGGATAAATTAGAAAACGTAAACTGGGCTAATAAGTATAAGAAGGTAGGAAACGTTATTGATAAATATCAGAACTGTGAGATGGTGCTTACGTAAACTTAAAATAGGAATGCCGAGGATTTCGAAGTTGTTCTCAGCAGAACTTGTATGCTTTCTTCTAATTAAATAGGTCAAAGCGGTCGTTGTACAATCAAATGAGTTGATCACAAAATTAAAGTCAGAATTACACTTAACCTCTAGTAAGTTAATGTGTAGCCTGAAATGGCAGTGCACCTGAGCCAATCTTATACATTTCCTCGTACAAAAATTGAGAACGAATCAGCATAAATGTAGGAGATCACGCAAAAAGTGTTCGCTAAAATACGCAAAACGTCTTTGACCAGCAGCGCATTGTGAAGAATAATCTGGAAAGTTCCTTGTAGTCTTCGCGTGAGAGAAATAAACGCACGAGTGTCTGTCTTCAACCTCCATTTGTTCCTTGTTCAGGTTCTTCAAAACCATTGGTGAAGCTACAAGCAGCGGTATCCCAATTTCAAAAATCAAATTTATCACAAACTTATCATACTAAGTTTAGACAATCCAAGAAAGAAAACGAAATTATAGAAAAAATAAGATCTAATTCCACAACAAATCTTCATACGTACGACAACAATATATCATCTGAAGAAGCAGAAGCAATTGCAGAAGTTTTAAAAACAAACAAATCATTAACAACTCTGAATATATGGAACAACAATATATCAGATAAAGGGGCAAAAGCAATTGCAGAAGCCTTGAAAAAGAACAAAAGATATAATATGAAGCGGGAATGTATCGCATGGGCGAAGAAAAAATTGATTTAAAGAGAAGATCGTTTACCGCCTTTGATGTATAGAAGAAGAAAACAAAATTTTCTGCCTTTAGTATGGAAAAAAATTCGAAATATAGTCGAGTTGTATATCATTCGATGGAGTTTTGTGCGTTGATTCTAACTATTACCGTAATCTGTTTTAGAAATGCTCTCGGGCTAACGTTAGAAAAATGGACTTTACAGGAAAAGATAAGAGGTTGAAGGAAATGTGCTATATGTTCCAGGAACATTTGTACTATCTCTCGATGTGTAGTACAGTGGTGAACAGACTTACAAAATTTGAGTGTGCCTGAGACTTGGAAACCTTATTCCACCTATCATACCTCTTGGATAAATTTTGGTTGTGGTTTTCTATGATCTTTAGCACTTGAAACATTTTTTGTCTTCAACACATGATGTAAAGTAAATGAATATGCTGGATGTATGCGGGTATATGTATATTAAAATATATTCTTGAGAAATATACTCTTGAGAAAGCGATAATTTGTCTGGAACACTCAATATATCCTTCAACAACATATCATCTGAAGGAGCACAAGTAATTGCGCGAGCCGCGCAGGTCCACGGTACTTGCACTGCTTATGATGAGGGTGAGGAGGAAAAGTCAAAACTCTTCAGTTGTTTGTTTGCGATTCCCTTTATTCGATTTTATGGTTTTGTGAGCCCCTTTGTCAAATCATCTAAATAAGATTTGCGCAATTAAGGACCACGCCAGGTAAATACCGAAATCTGCCGGTCAAAATTTCCAACTTTTGACATCAGATCCTTGTAGTTCGAATGCTCGGGAACATTTTGCAGTATTTGGGTTTCAAATTCGAATCGATCTTCCCAGAGATATAAGAGGATTTTCCTACGGCACCTTGAAAAGTGGCGGTTTTGGAGTTTTTAAGATGGATCTCGTGAACCAAGAGTCAGCCAGAATTCTGACGTCAGATCCGGATCCCCATCATCGATTCTCTATTTCGAACTGTCTTCATCAGTACCAAAGTCTACTTGGTACGGAACTTCGAATAAGGAAAGTGCAAAAAGCATGTACGCGGTATCAGAGCTGGAACCGGTTGAGAAAAGGTAAATCGATCCGGTCTGGTCAGTAAACTGACCAGTTAGAATTATAACTTAAACCGATGAAAAACCGGTAAAGGTCCGGCGAAAACCTAGCGAAGTTTTTTGAAAATCGATTTTCAAAAAGAATTTCACCGAGAAATGGAATAGTTTGCGAGCACGTGTGAGAGAATCTTCAGAATAACGAGTCTGTATCATTTAACTTTAAAATAAATGATGAAAATAATATGTCCTGAGCATCGTCTTATTTATTCTGAATAAAAAAGACGTGAAATTTTAGTTTTTTGACGAAAAACAGGGTAAAAAGAGCAGATGTTTCAAAAATTTCAACCGATGAAATATCGGTCTCTACTGAACCGGTTCCAGCTCTGTGCTGTACGTACTTGGGAAACCTTGAGATCTTCCTTTCTCAACAATGAAAAATAATACATCTGCCAAACTTTCAGAAAAAATTGCTCCAACAGCTAGCTAAATTTTAACTATTATTCGAAAAAACTATTTTTTCTCCGAATGAGTACTTGATTCAAAATACTCCAAACGTGACTATAGTCGAAGAAATATAAAACCTACCACTATTGATAAAAGTTGCAGCAGTTATATACTATTCAGCATATAAATGCTTGACGGCATACTTCTTAAAAAGACTCATATATTTCAATTCGAAGCACGTTATTTTCTGTATCTTTCTACATACAAACTATGCCTAGTCTCTGTCTGTAGAAGAAACTATAATCATTTTTATGTGCCACTATAGGAAAAAAAATCGAGATACTTGACCAATATTTGTTCAGTATATTTACGAAAGCATACTTTTAAAATAATGCGTCGTTATAGCTCATTGCATAGCCCGTGAAATTGTCTATCCAACGGTATATAAAGTAGAGTGTACCGGCTTGTTCACATGCTACCCGGTAATTCGAATCTTAAACTACCTATCCAGGTCGAATTCACCCGATCGGATCCTGTCAGATCCCTTTAATTCTGGTAATTTTCGGAGATCAGAATTTACTGAATTCCTTCGCGTTCCGATGTTTGGTTCCTGAAGGATCCGAAGATCGAAACCGATCGAATCCGTTAATTTCCGGTGATAGAAAATTCACGGATTCTATGATGTGCACTTTATTTTTTTTGTCTTTCTTTTCTATGCGTTTAATGTATTCACCGTTTTATTTCATGTCAGGAGCACTTTAAATACGAACCTATAGAAAATGAAAAATAGAGAAGTTGTTCTTCTCAATTCTTAACGGTGTGAGTCATCGCTCAAACTGTACAACGGACGTGTTGTACATGTCCTAGCTAGTTGGACTTTCCACTCTCTCGAATGAACAAAGAGAAGAACGATTACAAAAAGAAAAGATGTTTAGCCTCAAAACACCTGAAAACTGATCACATTCTGCCAAATCGAGCGAAATCCGATGTCTGAAAGTCGAAGGATCTGGTCAAATCTTTTCCGGCATGGTACAGAATTCCGCACTCCT